AGGAATATCTCGCCACGTCATAAGCCGCGGGCGAATGCGCTCTCGTCGCATGGGTTCCGCGGGGCTTTTGTCCTGGAAGACCATGGCCAGAGGTGTGGTCAGACAACGTCCTGGTCTCGATCCCACTGAAAATTGCGCCGCCTGTCTCCGTAAAGCCGTCATCATGGAGCCTGGGGCCCCGCGCGCTTGGCGCGCGTAAGTCATGTGCGGCATTGCTCCCGTGGCCCACAGAGACGACGCGATGCTGCGGAACTTGGCGCGTCGTGTCATCCTGCGCATCACGTCGGTTCGTTCATTAGCCTTCGCCTTCCGCTCGTTAGCCGTCCTACGAAGTCGGCGTCCCCAGGCCGTAGTGCTCGACTGTTTCCGAAGTGCACGTGGCGGGAATATCTGTTCGTCGTAGTCCTTCCGCAGCTTGATGCGCAATGCATGCGGTGGACCCCGACGCCGCCGTCTTGTCTAAACCTGCCCGCTGAAACTGCTCGCATACGCGACGCCGAACTTTCACCATGGCAACGATGACTTGTCTCTCTGCGCATTGCGCACGAATGACAGCATCGCCCACGAGCAGCATTATCTTCATACCACGCGGACCGCGCGCTCTCTCAGGCATAGGTTTCCAAAAATGCCTCTGCCATGCGGCCGCCACTGAAGGGGCCCTGCTGCGCTGCCTCGACGCGACTGAATCTGCCGCCAAATCCAACGGTGATCTTTGAATACAAGCGGGGCCAAAAACATCTGCCACTCCAACAGTAGCACCATTACTGGCAAGCCGTGTGTCAAGGCCGCAGCGCACAATTTCGCGGCGCCCAAACTGTCGTAATATTTCTCGGTGCCCAGCAGCAACGTCAAAAAAGAAATATGCACCCCACGTGCTGGTTCGTCCAGCAGACTCCGCACTAGCGCCGCCTGGAGTGCTGACGACCCGCGCGCGGCCGCATCCCAGTGCTCATCTGCGCCATGCGTCCACTGGAGGAACGCTCGCCCACAACTTGACCCAAAAAGGGAAGCAATCCTTATATCAGATGTCCTCCACATTGCACCGGGGCGACCGCGCCCATGACCAAGAAAAGCAGACCTGGCGACGCGACGCGTCTCTCCACGCCGGGCAGGACGCCAAGCAACTGATCAATTCCTCGGTGCGGAAGCCTCTGACTTCCAGTGGTCCCATCATGGCTACCCAACGACTTCTTCGCGTTCGTGCTGGCAGTGGCTTGGTCTTTCTGCTCTGCGGCGATCCCCTTCCATCTGCTGATGCAGTGCGCTCTCGCGTGCATGATCCAGCCCGGAGATGGTATTCGCCCGATCAAAATCACTACTGTTCCACGCCGTCTGCCCCTTGTCCGCGCGGTAGTCCACCACCTGACTGGGCGGGGAAAATGCCTTCGCCCCGAAACGATCCCATCTGGCATATTCAACACGGCTCGGGCATGCCGATGAAGGACTCCTGGCGTTGAATCCCGCGTCTTCGTCGCCCATGCCTGGGGGCCTCTCCGAGAATTCGATTACGATCGACCCAATACTCTGTACTTGCACTCCCGGCTTGCCCCTGTAACTACTGAAACTCGTCGCGATTGAATTCCGCGATTGCTCTTGCCATTCCTAGCCGGCGCGCGAACTGGACTTCCGCGCGCAACATCGCGAACTTGCCATTCGCGCCATCCGCAGACAACAACTCCTCTATCTCGGCATAAACCAGCTCCAAATCGGATAACCGCCCATCCCGCCGCAACACCCCCCCTCTGACCAGGAGCGTCGAACATTGAGTCCACCACTCTCATGCAGAATCACGGACATGTGGTGGGTCTGGCGCAGCGCGCGCGCGCTCCCAAGTGACTCGATGTCCTCGAGCTCGGCCGCGCATTTTGGTTGCCTCCGCGCACTACAAGCGGCTGCGGGTGATCGTCGCCCCCCTCCACTGAGGTCACCCAGGATGCGCAGTCCTGGGCCAGCCGATCACTGCACGTCGTGCCCCCGCCAAAGAGAATGCGGAACTGGTTCCAAGTCCACCTGGCATCAGGCCTGGGCCTTCACCCGCGTCTCCTCTGCGAAGTGGAAGGGGGCCTTCTCCTCGCGCCCGCTCCCCGTCGCCGGCTGCTGGAGCTCCTCGAACGCCGCTTCCTGCAGGTGATCCCCCAGCAGCCCGCACCTGTTCTCCTTCGCCCCTTTTCATCTGCTTCTGCCTATTGCTCTCCGGGTCAGGCTTCGCAGTGGGTCTCGCCACTGCGGGGGCTGGCCTCGCCGTCGTCGACGTCCTGCTCCACCGGCCCGACTAAGCTCACCTCACTTCCAACGACACTACCGCATGCGTCTTCCACGGCACTTCAGGGACGATCGACAATCGCACTGCCTCCGCCATGCCCCTCTTCGGGGTCACGCATCCGATCAAGGTGCCCTTACTGCGGTCGCATGTCACTGAGCAAATCGTGGGGAGCGCAAATTGCCAGCCAACCTCCGGCAACCATCCCGCACTGCGCCATTCGTCTGGACGTGCGTTCCAGTCGCCCATGACGACCCACGGCCCCAGGTTGCGGAGCGAATCAAGCATGATCGGGGCGAGCTCGTTCAGGCCCTTGAAAGTGCGACCAGGGAGGGGGCAGCGCGATGCCACCAACACATTCCCCACCCGAGAGCGCCACAAAATCGGCGCAAAGCTCTGAAAACAGCCCCGCCCCGTGCGAAGCCGTTCTGCTTGTCGTAACCCTTCGAAGGATGTGGTCGCCGGCCGTTCCTGCGTAATGATACATTCGCCGCCAGGCGCGCCGATCTGCCCGCGCCTGTCGCCTCCGTAGCATGTATTCTCCATGTCTGCTCAAATCCGACTCCGCCCCCTGTATGCGTTGTCCAAGTAGATGTGACCCTGTGAAGCCTATGATGTCGCGCTGCTTAGCCTGCTATCTCATGAAGGACCTCGCGACTGGCCCCCGCCCAGAAATGCCGATGACAAAAAGAATCAAAACTTGTAGACGCCCCGGCACTCGCCATAGTAGCCTCCCAACATGAATGTAAGAGAGTGTGGCCCACGCTTAACAAGAGCAGCACGAGCCGATGGAGAAAATGAGGGTCCTGTGCCTGCCGCCTTCGACCGCTCTGCAATATTCTTCCGCTCGGCATCCAAAGCTGCCCGCGGACCTCCTCAGCCTCTGCCAACACCTCTCGGCTGTCGTCGTCCGTCGGGTTGGTTGTCTGGGCTGAGGTGGGTGGATCCGAGTAACCCTTGTGCTCCGTGGTACCACCTGTGCCCATCGAAGCCTGTCCCTGTTCGCCCGCGCGTTGCCTCTTGGCCGCGCCCGAGCGCATGTCCTTGACCTGCGCGAACTGTTCGTGCACCGCCGCCTGAATCGCCGAGACCTGATCACACTTCTCTGTGATGGCGGCCTCCAACTTGCGCAGGGTGCGCTGCTCCTCCTCCTCCTTGAAAGAGCCGACGTCATGCATAGGTCGTCATCCACCGCGAACGCGACCCTCTTGCCGTCCGCCGTGAACCCCTGGGGAACCTGCTGGATGTTGGCCTCCGCCGCCACGCGCGCCCCCGCCTCGGTGTGGGCAGCCTTGGCACGGGTGTGCTCGAGCGACGCTCGCTTCGTCGCCTCTGTAACAGCCTCCAGCTTGGACTCCGCCTAGATATCCACCTTCGTCGCGCGTTCCACTGCCTCGGCCTTCCACTGGAGTTGTTATGTTCTGCAGATGTAGTGTAGTACTCCTGGGGAGTGCGCTGCACCACTTGACTCTCGTCACTGTTATCCTGGGCCCGGTGCAACAAGGTGACCTCATTGGCAAACTGCGGGAGCCTCGCTAACTGCTCCAGGATCGCCTTAAGAACCGTCGTTGTGGACGTGAGGTCCCAGATGTCCCTGCTGTCATTTAGTAGTACAAGTGCTGTGCGCGTCGTCATTCAGCCTGCCACGGTGGTATCGCTGCTCTGGGGAACAGATCAAGACCGCGACCGCACTTCGCACACTTGCCACTGCCCCTTGCAATGCGGAAATTGAAGGCCCAGTTGCCGCATTCGCAGACTGTGAAATCGCCGGTCATCGCCGCCTTCGTGTGGCAGGGACGCTGCCTGAAACGGGACGGATCCCCGTCCCAGCAGGCAGTGGGGCCGCTGATCCCGTGCCGATTCAGCCGCTTGAATAAGGATGGAGGAAGATTAGGAGGAGGAGGAGGAGGAGGAGGAGGAGGAGGAGGAGGAGGAGGAGGAGGAGGAGGAACAGGAGGAAACAGGAGGAGGAGGGAGGATAATGGAGGATCAAGACGAGGAGGGGGGGGGGGAGGAGGAGGAGGAGGAGGAGGAGGAGGAGGAGGAGGAGGAGGAGGAGGAGGAGGAGGAGGAGGAGGGGAGGAGGAGGAGGAGGAGGAGGAGGAGGAGGAGGAGGACGAGGAGGCGGAGGAGAAGGAGGAGGAGGGGGAGGAGAAGGAGGAGGAGGAGGAGGAGAAGGAGGAGGAGGAGTGAGGAGGAGGATTGAGGATAATCAAAACAGAGGCGGGTGGAGGATCTGGAGAAGGTGGGCGACGACGACGAGGAAGGAGCAGGAGGCAGATGAGGACCATGGAATAGAAGGAGCGCGAGAGGAGGAGAAGAGAGGAAGAGGAGGAAGTACAAGACGCGATAAAATGATGTGGAGGAGCACGGCGACGAGGGAGGGGGAAGAAAGGAGGGGGATCCACGAGGGAGGTGGAAAGGCATGACAAAAAGCAAGGAGGACACATGAGGACAGAGGACGCGGAGAACAACGCAATCCAATACATGACCAAGGGGTATAAAGGAGTATGAGGAGGAGCGAGAGGCAGAGGAAGAGGAGGAGGAGGAGGAGGAACAGGAGGAGGAGACAGGAGGATCATGGAGGGCCAGGAGGAGGAGGAAAAGGAGGAGGAGGAGGAGGAGGGAAGAGGATGACGAGGAACAAGAAGGAGGAACGAAGAGGAAGAGGTGACCACTTGGACGCACCTACGGCCTCCCGTAATGGCCAACCGCGTGCAAATACGGGAGAAGAAGCGGCCTGATCGTCGAAGATGGCGAGCGACCTGCCGGGCTGAAAGGATCATTGCAGGGCCACCCCGCGCCCAGCCGAAAAAAAACAGGCCGAGAGCGATATATAAATATATATATATAGAGAGAGAGAGATACCTGCATACAACATACACACTATATATATATGTGGATATACACACACTAGACCAACGCGCGCGCTTCGCGCGGTTAGGTTCTCGTCGCAGATGGGTCACGGGAGCCGCTGTAAGCCCCACTGTGGCCACAACGACGAATCCCAGCGTACCCGGGCCATGCCATCGACGCAAAGAAGCGCGTAGTCAGAACGCGGGGCGCCAAGTTCCCACGCATTTCACAATCTCGCAGCCGCCTTTGTTTGGTTTATCGAACTGCGTTTTCTTCAGTTTTACTTCCGCTGTGCCCCGTCGTGAAACTCAATACTTTTGCACATACGCTCGGTCTCCCCATGCCCGATCACACAGACGTCCGCAAATGTTGGGGTTGGTTCGGGGCCTCGTTGCGCGCGCATGGGAGCGCTTTGGTGTTTGTTTCTGATTCCTTCTGCTCAAGGCTTCTCGTTGTCAGCGGTCGCCCAGCTGCAAAATATCTGCAAAGGGCGCGCGCAGATGTAACGGCCATCCGTGCCTGTCTCTGCAATTAATTGTTCTCGACTCCGTCCACGGGAGTGGGGCACCTTTTTTTCGCGATGGGCACCAAACCTCATGCCGGCGATGGTCCCATTCGTGGAAGCAAAAGGTTCGGAATCACGTGGGATGCTCAATGATTTGCATGGCAAATCCCCTGTGTGGGGCTGCCTGGAGCTCTGACGGGGCCTCTGGCGGTACCTTCTTGGCGCTCTCGCGAGGCCTTTTCAGGAGGTGAGGGAGGGGCACGAAACCTAGGAAATTGTAGAGTATAGCCACACCCCGATCGTTCGGGCGGGTCCGCCCTGCAAGGGTGGGAGGAGCAAGAATCGCGTGAAACAAAAATTGTGTAAGGATGCCCTGCTCTCCCTGGCGGGGGGGTCCCTGGCGCTCTGGCGGGGTTTGCCCAAGAGGGGAGGGAGGAGCACGAAACCTGAGGAACATTATGGTATAGCCACACCCCGTGCGCTATGACGGGGCTACCTCGGGTGCGGTGGGAAGAACGAAACACAACAGGGACTGTATATATTATAGCAGTACCCCTCTCGCTTTGCCGGGGCCGCCCTTGAGGGGTGGGAGGGGCAAAGCAATTTGTGAAATGTTATAATATAGCGATGCCCCGTTCGCTCTGGCGGGGCCTCTCTGGCGCTCTGGCGGGGCCGTCCCAGGAGAGGAAGGAGGAGCACGAAAGCTGAGGGGTGAGGGGGGGAAAAGGAGTGAGGAGGGAATGGAGGCAAGGGGAGGGGGCGGCAGGGAAGGAAGGACGGAGGGGGGAGGCCTGGGCCATCTGGGCCGTCTTCGAGCGCCCTGGGGCCTCCCGCTCCAGCTCAGTGGCCGTCTTGGGCCTGTCCTGGGGCCTCTTGGGCCGTATGGGGCTCCTCGTGGGCAATGTGTAGGCTCTCTGGAAAAGTCTTGAGGCTCTTTTGGGGGCGTCTTCGGCGGTGTTGGGGCGGTCTTGGGGGCGTCTTCGGCCGTCTTCGAGCACTGGAAGCTCGAGAAAGCGACACACCTAGAAAACAACAATGCTAATTAATGAGTTGGGCCTGTTTGGGCTCTCTCGGAACGTCTCTCGGAGCTCTCTTGGGGCCTCCTGGAGGCCTCTTGGGCTGTGTGTTTGCCGCCTTGAGCTCCTCTTGGGCCACGTTGTGATCATCTGGGCCATCCTGGAACGCCTTGGGGCCTCCCGCTACCGCTCGGGAGCCCATCTTGTGCCTCTCCTGGGATTATCTTGGGTAGTATTGGGCTGCTCTTAGGCAGTCTTCAGGCTCTCTGGGGCGTCTTGAGGCTCTTTTTAGGACCTCTTCGGCGGTCTTGGGGCGATCTTCGGGGCGTCTTCGGCCGTCTTGGAGAGTTGGAGCCTCGAGAACGCGAGAAAGCGAAAAAACATGGAAACAACTGCCAGAAACTAATGATTTGGGCCTCTTTGGGCTCTCTCGGGATGTCTCTCAGAGCTCTCTTGGGGCCTCTTGGAGGCCTCTTGGGCTGTGTATTGGCCGTGTTGGGCCCATCTGAGGCTACGTTGGGGTCATCTGGGCCGTCTTGGAGCGCCTTGGGGCCTCCCGCTCCCGCTCTGTGGCCCAGCTTGGGCCTGTCCTGGGACTCTCTTGGGCCGTCTGAGGCTCCTCCTGGGCAATGTTTGGGCTCCCTGGGGCCGTCTTGGGGCTCCGTTGGGGCCTCTTCGGCGGTCTTGGTGCGGTCTTGGGGGCGGCGTCGGCCGTCCTGGAGCGACGGCAGGTCGAAAACGCGAGAAAACGAAAAACCCATGGAAAAACAATGATATATCAAGGATTTGGGCCTCTCGCGGGACGCCTCTCGGAGCTCTCGTGAGGCCTCTTGGAGGCCTCTTGGAGGCCTCTTGGGCCGTGCACTTGCGGTCTGGCATGTTGGGGCTATCTGGGCTGCCTTGGAGGGGCTTGTCGAAGTCCCCCGGATGCTTCTGAGAGCGTCTTGGGGCTCTCTGGGGCAGTCTGGGAGCGTCTAGAACCGCGCGCGCACGCTTCGCGCGCGCTTGGGTTCTGGCGCATGCCATAGCGTTGATAGCTGTGTGCTTTTCGGACTGGCCCATGCCATGCCTTGCCCCTTCGTCCTCTATCATTCCCCATACGTCCTTCCTCGTTAACCATCCTGTCTCTCTCGGTTGTCCTCGCTTTTCGTTCTCGTTCTATGGACGGCCTCCTCTTGCTTGGGATTATGCGGGGCCTTCGAGCTGTTCAGGGCTGGCGTGGGGAGATATTGAATATGAAGTGGAATGGCTTGGAGTGTAGGGGTCTCTTGGGGATCTTCTTGGTCGGGCTGCCTTGAAGGTCTTGGGGCCACCTTGGAGCCCTCTTGGGCTCTTCTTCGAAGTTGTGGGGCCGTCTGAAGCCTTAGGGCCATGTGAAGCTCTCCCGACGCCATCCGAAGAGAAGAGCGCGAGATTTACTGAGTATGGAGAAACCTGAATGGCTTTTGCGTGTATGGCTCTCTGGGGTCATTGTTGGGGGGTCTTTTGGAAGCTCCACTGGGGCATCTTGCGGCCCCTGGGGGCCGCCTTGAAACATCTTGGAGCGTCTTGGGCCACCGAGGGGCCATCTTGGCGGCCAGCAGGCGCCCTCCTGAACCAGCTCGGAACCCTCTTCGGGCAGGCAAAAGTAGTCCAAAGACCCCAAGGCGGATCCTGGAGCCCAGGGGGGCCAAGTGGGGCTGCGACGGGGGGGGGGGGAGAAAAGTGGGCCATCCCAGGGCCAGAAACCCTGTCGTCGGTGCACAGAGCAAGGAGGAATCATAGCACACTGGTTGGTCAATGAATGGACGAACTGAACACGTGGCGGGGGTGTACGCCGCACTCGCAAAGACATACACAATGAGAACTGATTGTGTATTCCCGATGGGAAGGGCGAGTAACGCGAGGAGGAGGAGGAGAAGGAGGAACTGGAGGGGGGAGGAGGGATGTGAGAGGAGTAAGGCGGGAAGAAGAGGAAGGAACGGGGGAGAAGTGGGGACAACAGGCGCTGGACGTTCCAGCGAAACCTCTCGAAACACGGCGTGGGGGGGGGGGGCAAAGCGGAGCTGGTGACGCCAAGCCCCCCATCGTTGTCATCCTCCTCCACTTCCGTTTCCATTCCTGTTCCTCCTGCTCCTCATCATCCTCCGAGTTCACCCTGCTCAAAAAGGCCCGAATAGCCAACCTGATAACACGCAGAATGGGGTGACGAATCAAGTTACACAACAAGGGCAGACAATTTGCAAGGGAGCCATCTCGAAAAAGACGCATTGCCCTTCTTCACCAGTTGCCTTATCCTATTACATTCAATACCTCTTGACCTCTCCACCCTCTTCTTGCTCCACTCTTTCTTATCGGAGGGGACGGCCATTCGGCGTTCGACACGCCACACACGTGCAACGTACCAACCTGACTCCTTAGGTCCGAGAGGCGAACGTTGACGAGGTAACCTTGTAGAGACGCATCGCTTGGCACATACTTGCCTGGTCAGTAACCCAAGAGTTCTCGAACAAGGCGTACCGAAACTCCTCGCTGCCCCTAGAATGAAAAGAGTGAACAACAGGACATGACATTGATACTTTCCGACGGAAACGCATCGTTCTGGCGCGCACTTATCTGGTCGATTGCCCAAGTATGTGCGCGCAAGGTGGAGCGACCAGATTTTGAAAAAAACAAAAGAATGCATCTAATGCATTGGGCTGACCGCAGTCGGACGTTACCCGCAAGCCAGCATTTCAGCCTGAACACGCCTTGTCGCGAACGGCACACATACTGAGGCGCTGAACAATTCATGTTGCTGAACAATCGAACATCAATAGTGAAACTCCCCCACCCTGTCGCAGGCACGTTGGAGCCGTGTGAGTGCTTGTTGGCTTTCGGGAACTGTTTCTGCTGTTCTCTGGGAGTGACGCCCCCCTGCCGCGCGCATCCTCACAAGATCGCGCCCTCTGCACTTTGCTCCACGGCTCCACGGCGCCCTGAGCCAGAGACCGCCTCAAAACGGCCGCAAGACGCCCCAAGCCCGTCCAAAGACGGTCCAGCGGACTCTCTTGGCCCTCTCTTAAAATCCCGTTGGGATTTCTTGGGACCCTCTTGAGGCCCTCTTGGGTGGACTTCGGAACCTCCGGAGCCGATTTTGGGGGTCCTCTTGGGCCGTGTTCGGGCCCTAGGAAGGGGGGGGAAGGAGGGGCCAGGCGGAGCTAAACAAACGATTGTCTCCGCAGCAAGCAGATAGAATCCGAGGTTGGGAAAGAGATCGAGGTGAACAAGAGACCCCCCGCCAAGATATCGTTTTCGGTTTCGTGTTCGTGTCGCGCGTGTGGGTAGGGCGAAGCTGCGTCGGCGGGAGAGAGGAATGAACCCGCCGTGCTTAGGGCAAAACCGGGCCAAATAATGCTGCGCCCCCGGG